AAATTTCAAATCCAACCAATCACACACGTCTATCCGTTTCACAATATCCTTATACTTCCTACAATATTCAACTTTCAAATCTATCCAACCACATACGTCTATCCGTTTCGCAGTTTTTTCAATTCATTTGATTCACCAGTTTAATCCATTCCTTCTCACTTCATGTGAAACCATTCCACAACTCCAAACGGTCGTATCTCCAATACTCTCCTAAACCATCTACTTCATTTTCCTCATAACTCAATCATTCCAATTCGCTTTTCATTATGCCCACTTTTCTTATACAATATTCCCACTTATCTTTTGCTTTGCCGGAAACATATTATTATTTAAACAAAGTTCGATTGAGCAGAAACTCTACTTTCTGGAAATGAAAAGTTTGCCTGAAAATTCCACCTCTACGAGGAGATATAGCAATTTTACTAATGCCACAGGAGTTAACTCATTCAGACATACCGTACCCTCAGCTTTGACCACTAACATATCAATTTCCTTGCACTGATCGATCCAGCAGAATCCCTGAATTCAGAAAAATATATATTTTCTCGGCCGGTTTTGCTTTGTTGAGAAGATATAGTTAATTTATTTAAGCTATCATATCATCTAGCGCAATGCTGCTCATTCATATGCATTTGATCACTATAGATCAATGCATATTATATANTACTATAGAAATATTGGTTTGAAACATTCAAGCCTACCGTCTTCTCAAGTTTGTCCAGTAACATATTAATGTTTGTGCATCGTTCGATTGAGCAGAATCCTGGCTTTCTAAAAATGAAAATATCGCTGAGAAATTCTGCCTCTGTGGGGAGATATAGCTATTTTTCTGATGCTATGAATTTCATCAATATTCTCACTTCGGCGATGTGATATCTGGAAAAAGTTGTCCATGTTGCTCAAACTAAGAACGGAATGTGATAGTGCTTTTCATGTGCTTAAAAACGCATACCTTCGATTTCTTCAGGAAGATTTCCATCATGCCGTAATATCCCTTTCTGTGTCCGTTACGTGCTGCCCTCTCTGTCTTCATGCTGCTCTGGTGCACGCCCATTGTCATGTTCGGCCCACACCATTTTTTTGTTGCATTTTGCAAAACAGCTGATTTCTTTTGAATGTTGCAAAATTAAACGAGTGAATTGTTTCACGGTATTGTGGATGGATGCTTTTGTTGTCAATCCTGCAGATTACTCCGTTTTGCATGCAAATTATTTTTTTATCACAGTTTCACCACAATTCACCTTTCTTATGTTGCCATTTGCGGTATAAAACGAAATAAAACGCAATCAAATCTTAGAGCGAAGATATTTCCATGTTGCAGTAAATGATTTTCAGTTTCTTGATCAGGCATCTTGTACCTTATGTTATCCATTGTTCAGATCAGATTCAAATGGCACCACATTGTTTCGTTCATAACAGATTCATTTTTATTATTGCTCCTAATATATGATAATTCCAGGTATACTCTGTCATAATAGATCTCTGCTCAAGATCCATCGAAGATGAGCGACAGTGACGAGGAGATGAGTGATGCAGATCAGTCGGGTGGATCGGCATCTGATCAAGATGATCAACCGAATGTCGAGAGGCGACCGTTCGATATTCGACTTCCACCCGCACATCAATACCTTCAACTTGCCGGTAATCTTAATTGCATTCCCTAGATAACTTAAATGTTCTCATTATTTGTGAATATATTGTTACTGTGATATCGATTGGCAGATTGATTCCTTCTGATGCCCTTCCATTGTATCCTCAAGCACTCGATTAGGCTCGTCTGTGCAGTTGTTATTGTTACTTTGTTACTGCCTCATTCATAATTGCATTAGAATCGTTGAGATTGCAGAGATCTTAATTCAGTAGATTCTAGTCGTTTTGTGAAGAAGTCGGAAATTATCTTGAAATGGTTCTGTTCAAGGTCTGCATTCATTCATTTTTTCGGTCTAGCTGCTGAAGAAACAACCGGAGGACACCAAATGGAGGAAGCAGAAAAAGTGATAACCGTTTCAATTCTGGAATGGCCAGTGGTTCTGTTGCCATCCCAACAACTGCCCTTCCACACGATGCTTCCAAGTCTTGTTGCGCAACTGCGAACAGCCGCAAGAGAACACACGTTTATTGCGTTGAAACCGGTGATTAATGGTCGACGATCCGACATCGCTACACTTATACAGGTTTGTTTATCGCAAACTTATCACTGATGCCGGTTTGTCATCTTCATTTTTGTAGCTGTTATCCTTGCGAGAGATTGATGATGGTATCATCGTACAAGCTATTGGCAGACAACGGTGTCGTATTTTGACCAGACGATCCGCGATCAATGGGTTACTTATGTTTATTCTTGAAAAATGTGCGTGCAAGTGTAGTGTAGAGTTTGAAATTGATCAGTCAAGTAGTTTTGAGGATGCACTATGAATTAGTTCATTGGGAATTTCATTCAGAATCATTTGTTGTTGTTCTCAGAATGCCGTATGGTGACGTCCGAGTGCTGGACGAACACGAGCTGCCAACATTCGCCCAAACGTTCTACCCTGTGTCATTTTCTAAGTTGAATTTTGCAAAGGTATTTGTCGTGTATCGCTGTGATTTACTATTATTTCAGATCTGACTTTTTAATTCAAAAACGATTCGAATTTTTGCTCCTTGTTTGCTTTGACACAGATCACTTGAAATCATTTTCTTTTCGACTATTCAGCAGTCATTTAAAATTGATCACTAATGATATTACACAGCAAAAAAATGTGAAGTGTGTGCAAACACTGGTATAAATCTCATGAAACTATTGAAAACATTGTAGTTTTCAGAGTGTGAAATTCTATGCTGCATTGAGTGGACATTCAAATTTTGCTCTTCGAACATCATTAACGGTTTGTAATCGTGGATGCGTTCGATTTTATTCAGTTTCAGTCTTCGAATCAGATGTTTTTGGATGTTGTTGACGATGTTCATTTGGAACATGATTCCATTTTGTAGATTAGATGTGCGGAAATTCATTTTGTTTCGACACGTTGATAGTTAGTGCATTCTGAAGTAAAGTAGTAAATACTCGACATTTAGCAAAGTCTGGTGGATCGCTTGATCAAATGGCTTCTGGTTTTTCATCAACTGGACAAAGTAAACACAGTTCTTGCACAGGTTTATCCTTTATTGATAAGTTGAATCCTCATTTGGTTGACTCACTTCTTGATGAGTTGAACGATTGATATGGTTATAAAACTGAATGAATTTTAGAATTGAGTTTAGTTCTTTTGCACTTATAGGGTCGAACAGCGTTCAGTTATTGGGTAGCAGCGAACCTTCCAATTGATATGGAAACAAGGCTGGAACTTTTGGACGAAGAGTGCACTGATCGACGTCTGGCGCGAGAATGTGTTCTCATCAAACGGGTGCGTTGCTTATATCTTGTTTGATCAATGCTCACTGCGGGTGATTCATAGTGATCAATCGATTATCAGTTGCAGATCGATACAATTGTATGTAAAGCATGTGGACAACCGTTGACAAAAATATCGAATATGATCAACGTCTCAACTGAAGGCAACAGTGCATTATATGTGAATCCGGGTAAGAACGTTCGTTCGTTCATTCAGGCATCCAAGTCATCTGTTTTTGCCATATGATTCTCTTGAATTCGAGTAAAAAGAAAAATTTGGATGTCGAGGTCGAGATTGTTAGAAGTGCATTTGATGATTGATTGATTGATTCGTGACATTTCTGTATCAAAGATGTCAAGTTACGAATAAAATCCGTCATTTTCTAGGTGGCTACGTTCATGATTTGTTCACGGTTTCGGAGGTTCACTCAACCCTAGCTCGTGGACGCGCTTCATCTGAATATTCATGGTTCCCTGGGTGTGTTTGTCATTTATTTTTAATTTATCGTTGTATTCTGATTTCATCGCACCACTATTTTGAATATTGTTTAAGCGTGTGAAGCTCATGCCTAGCAGTGACTTGCCGCAATGCGAACACATTCACATGATCATATCTTATGCTTTTTTTTNTTTTTTTTATTCATTCAATTTCATACAGATACAAGTGGACGATTCACGAGTGTTCGCACTGCTCGATGCATGTTGGTTGGCGTTTCACAAGTTCCACGCTCACGCCTGCCTCGTTCTTCGGTCTTACGCGGAGTTCGATTCGGCCTGCAGATTCGTCGCATCCGCAGAACACTGGCCAAAATCGGAACGGTAACGGCCAACAACTGCAACCATACTTTGGAGATTTGGAAATCATTTAGTCGATTTGTTTATTATCTGTTCTGTTTACTTTGTTGTTTTTTTTGCGATCTTGTATGTTAAATCTTTTATTTATTATCATTGTTTTCGTTGTGGCTTGTTCTTGTTTTTGTAAGTTACTGTAAATATTGAACGATTTCATTTCTGTAAGTTTCAATAGAAGACTGTCGATGTAAATGAAAAGTTACAAAAGCAGTTAGATAGGTTTAAATGAATCACATGAGTTGTTAAGTAATGTATCTCGAGTAAGTGAATAGTGTGAGTTGGATTAGGGATTGCGAGTATCTTTTATTCGGGTATTTTTCACGATTGGTCGAGATACGTGCTGGAATGTTGTTTTGAGATTAAACGATATGATTTTGTTTTATTTGTTTGCGTTTCGTGTTTCCATTACTCATTGCGCTTCTTATGAGTTGCATCTGGTCGATGATACTACATACGAGGAAAGAGCCGTGCATATCGTTTTGAGTTGTTTATTGTGCTGTCGTAATATGGCATAGTTGTGTGGTATTCCTGTACGTCAACACCCATTCGAATATGCATTTCAGTTGAATGGCTTACCGTGAAATGATATTGAGAGAGATTAACATGAAAAATGGATTTACTTCGTGTTCTGTCTTGTTGTTGTAGAGTTTGCTGAGCTAATCAACTTGCAAACTGGTCCTGTAACAAAATTTTCTGCTGAATTATTGTACAAAAAATTCACATCTGTTTACTATGTCAGAAGAAAATATTCGGGGTTGGAGTGCTTAATGCTTGCGATAATGTCATACTCTTCTCGAATAAACATTTTATATTAGCCACAGTCATCCGTATTTGTGAAATCTTCAGCAATTTAAAACATTTGACACAAAAATTCCTATGTTTGTTGCTGGTGAAATAGTCATACAGATAGGAGTAATACTGATGAGAACATTTAAAAAAAAACTTTGATATGAACAAAAATAATGAGAAGTGGACTGATGGAAAGAAGGAAGATAAAACAAAAAATATCATCTCACCGATGAGGTAATATGCATATACTGAACAGTCACGGTCCAAGCTAACTGACCGGGTATGAAAACTTGAGAATAACAATACCAATCATAATAACAACAAGGATAATAGCGATGATAGAAATATAATTGTCACAATGGGAAAACTTCAAAAATCCAAACAAAAAATTTAAATTGCATAATCTGTACACTTCACATTAAAGCAATTAGATTCACCGGGACATAGAGATATTAATGCAATCGTTGAACAGAAAACATCTCCTCGTGATTGATTATGATAAATAATGCAGCAAATTATTTCTTGCTTCACAATAGTATGCTCTAATTATCTATTTTTACAAATAATACTAAAAGTTGCATGAAGGGAACGAAAAAAATTCATTTATGAGCTGTACAATTATCATGACAAGCATCGAAATCGATCACCGACTAATGGGTGAGTCTGAGCATCTGATCCGGAATCACATTACGGATAGATAGACGAGGATTATCATGACCTGAGCAAAGCAGCTGATAAGTAATTTCCAGCACTATTGTTGCTAAACGGTTCCTCACCGCTAGCCACAGCAGTTTCATTTCAGTTCAGCAGCATTAACTCAAAAGTGCAAACTAGAAATACTCACGTTACAGATAGTGATTTGATAGCGTGATGAAAATGCTCAAGACTTAATGGAGCAACTGGCCCAGGCAGGCAGGCACGCAATTGGTCATCGCTATTCACAGTAAATTTATCAAAAACTATTATATATCGAAAAGTTTTACACGTACAACAAAATGGAATAGACAATTGAATGAATAGACAAACATGCTTCTTCTCTCATTAAATTGAGTACTCTCGCAGATTTAGAGAACAACTCAGAATTAAGAAATTCTCGCAGCATAGCTGGAAGATTGGTTGTTTTTTTTTTGCTCACAGCTGGAAGTGTTATGTTTGAAGCGTTCACGACTAAATTTCATAAATATTTCACATTTCCGAATCGAACCAAACCATCCTTTAATAGCTATGTGCATGTTGTATAAGTTGTTATTGTGTTGCCGATTTGTTTCGTTACAGTACGACATCGCTGGCCTGAAATAACGTTCAATTTGTTGAGTCGCTCATTTTCAGGCGAACATCATTTCCGTGGTATAATTGAGGATACTCTCGTACATTCAGAGAACAATATTCATTACTGTTCTTACAGTTCCATAAAGACTGATCAACTGCAATCATGAAAAAAAAANAAAAAAAAACAAAGTAACAATTGTACGGTGCTTTTTAGCATGTCCTATTGTCACATTTACTTGATTTCATTAAGAATTAGCTATGCATTAATTCGAATTGCTTCACTTACAAATGAGCTTTTGATTTGATAACTGCATTCTGAAAGCTACTGGCTGAAGGTTTCTTAAGAGTATAGCCAAAAACGATCACATTAAGCTTTTGAATGAACAGAAAATGAGGTTCAATACGAACCGCTGTGTTGACTTTGAGTGCTCTCTCGATACATCGATGCAGGATCGGCACGAAACTGATGGTGGTGCATGTCACCGAAACCCTCGAACGATTCAAACGGATCAACCCATTTAAAACCACCACTACTCGGGAAGATATCTTCAAAACCGTCCCACAAATCGTCAAATATCCCGCTACGTGAACCACTCTTACCATGTTTAAAGGTATTCATGCCTTCAAACGATCAAAATCATAAACATTATTAATTCCTCCGAAGAGAATGGACTGGTATGCAGGCGTGGATGGATGTTCAAAGTATTTTAAAAGTTCAGAAAATCGACTTAGATACAGAGCGAGTCGTTTCCGAATTATTCTAGAAGGATGTTCTGGTCTAGAAATCTATAACCTTCAACAGTTCAGTTCAGCTTAGACAAATGGTACCATAGGACTGTAATGATGAAATAACAGTGGCATGGTTTCGATACTAAAATTTGATTCATCGCGATCCTCCATATAGTCACTTTAGTGTTTTCATATACATTCTGTTCGTATATACATTCTCATATACTCATTTACATTCTCATATACATTCAAATGTTTTCTATCAAGCTTTTAGATGGCAGTATCAGTGCAGAACAGCGACAATTTCAAAACTGACTTTCTTGGAAGCTGGAGAAGAAGGAATCAAAATCGAAGCCAGCACCCGAACCGTCTGACACCGGCACGCCCATATCGTAGTTGCGACGTTTGTTTTCATCACCCAGCACCTCGTATGCTGAAAAAAAAAAGAAATTGAAACGTTCGAATGGGTATAAAGAGTTAATCTCGAGCACTTTTTCACAAAACGGTCTGAATATCTCAACTTAAACATGGTGAGCGAGTGAATCGATCAGATGTTCAGATTAAGTTGCTCCGCGATAATATTCAAACCGAAACAGATCTTAACTAGTCTCAACGCCAGCGGATTATACTATTCATCAATAACACGGAATATTAGTATAACATAATGAACGTTAACTATCCGATGTTCATCATTCCGACTTCGATTCTTTTGTCAATTTCTTGAACGAACTCACACATTAAAACACACACAGAGAGTAAGAAGGCTGACCTTCGGCGATTTTTCGGAACTTATCTGCTGCATTCGGGTCCTTACTTCGATCCGGGTGATATTTTAAGGCCAATTTTCGAAAGGCTTTCTTAATCTGTGCTGTTGTGGCAGTCTTTTGAACACCCAGAATCTTATAGTAGTCTTTTTCATCACCTGACGACGATGAACAAGGAGAGAACTGAACTAATAAGAGCACAACGAAGAGAATATCACACAAGACAACCATATCATTGATCCGCATATTCTACAATAGGACAAATAATACTGTTTATGGTAATATCAATAACGATAATAGAAGTGAAGTGATTTAATCAGCTGGCAGATGATTTCACAAATACAAATGCATGAAAATATTCAGTTATATGAGCAGAAACTTATTCAGAGCTGAACGTGATCGTTGGTTGCATGGAAGAATTTAGATTAGAATATCGATATATTCTCGATCAGTGCTTCCACGAATAATAGTGATGATAATGATCGGATGATAACAACTGTGCTCTCCTTCGCTGATCAAATACTATCAGCTTTGAACGATACAAACAAGCCTTACAGCAACCGATTAAGCTGCTCTTCGAACAATAATGTGAACGATGTTTCTCGCTCAATACTGAGTTCTGAATATAGACAACATCACATGAACGCATTTGATTACGTTGCTTTCGTTTTTGATGACGTGTCCTTATTTGGGATGCGGGGAAA